TAATATACAATTAAAGTATATGATAATTTAATCAAAATATGGCATCCTCACACATGCGTGGAGGCCAATATCCTAGCTAATTTTGTTTATCATTATGTCATATTCCTTGGAGATTAGCACCAAAAGAAAAAGAAAAAAACAATTTTTGCTACCCTATCGCCCTGAGGACATCTCCAATATGTAACTCCAAATTTTATTCCATTTTTGAATAACTTTAAAATAGAGTTATGTTTTACTCTAATCTTATTCCATTTCTTAACTTCAAAATGAAGTTATGACTAAAAAATAAAATAATTATATTTTTTGTTTCATATTTGGAATAACTTTATTTTGAGGTGAAATATGGATTATGATTGGAGAGAATATTGCTTTAAACTCTATTTTGGAATAAAATTTGGGGTGAAGTTGAAGATGATCTCAATTACAAAACTTCTATTAAAATAATTTGGTTCCTTTAGAGGAGAGTAGCTATGTCTCTTACATAAGTTGCAGAGGTTGATTTGATCCATACTCTTCCTTGCTTGTTATGTCCTGAAAGTTTTTGAACATCGTCAAATAAGACTTTCCAATCTCCAAGGAATAGGAAATCATGTAGGCCAATCTCTGCATGTCTTTTACAGCCATCAGTAGAGTTGTATAGCTTCAGCCCCCAAAATGTCGAAATAGGGTCTAAATTACTTGCCTTCGAGAATTCATTGACCACTTGGGTTATACAAGGACCAATCCATAACTCGTTAGCTTTAAATGGTATCTATTTAGCATTAACAATACAAAAGCACTACAAGAAAATATGCGATTTCCGATTCCGTCGGAATTTTATCCGAAAACAGCATTTCTGACAAAATTCTGACGACCATTGTTCGGCGGAGCCATCTTGTTAGAAAAAATTGGTCGAAAATCTGTCAGAAATTTCTAATGGATTCCCGAGAAAATCATACGGATTTCTGGCGGGCATATCTTTTCCGACCAAATTCTGAGAGACGTGGTGTTCCCTACGCTTTACAGATGGCCCTATAGACCAAGGAATATTCGTCATTGGAATTTCGTCGGAGATGTTTTCCCGACAGATTTCCAATAGCTATCCAATTTTATTATTCACCGATGTATTTCCGACGGAGTTAATTTCTCGACAAAAATCCGAGAGATAGAGAATTTGTTAATTTTTGACAGATTTCCGACTGAGTGTTTATTTTTCCGACCATTCTTGTATTCTAATAAAAAACTATTTCTAATAATTTTTAAATTATATATGAATAATAAAAATGCTAAATTTAAATTAAATTCAAAATTCAATTATATATATAAAAATAAAATTAAGGAAAAAAATAAATTCATACAAAATATCAAATATCAAATTAGAAAAAGAAAAAAGAAATTCAAATTCATAATTATTGTAAATAATGGTAATTTTCAAAAAAAAAAAATTGTTATAATCAACTGTAAATTATATTGTTATATTGTAGTTTTAAATTTTTTTGTTATATTATAGTTTCTTTATTTTAATATATCCAATATATCTAAGAAGTCTAATAATTTTACTACATTATATTTTACCATTCTAATTTTAGAAATCTAACATAGAAAAATCTAACAATTTTCTTCTATCAAATCTAACAAATAAGTTTACAAAATTTAATTTAGTATAAATTATAACGATTAACAAATCTAACATTTTCCTAAAATTATAACAAATTCTAGAATAAATTCTAAATATAATTCCAACAGATTCTAATCTAGAATAAATTTTATCAAATCCTAACAAATAACAACCTAATGAACAAATAACAACCTAAATCCAAAACTAACTCTTCCTAAAATTCTGAATAAAATCAAATTCTAACTAAAATCAAACCCAAAACTTACATGTTTCAGGTCACAGGTAGCAGATCGACGGCGAAGAAAGTCCGGCGGTCGACAGCATCGAAGATCCAGCGGCGTAGCGAGCAGATCTGGCGGCTGCGCAGTCCTGCAAAAAAAAAAAAAAACTAAGGAGCAGACCTGAGGAGAAGAAAAGATATATATAAGAAAAGGGAGAAGAAATTACATGAGGAGAAGATGCAGATTCCAAGCAAAAGATAGCAGATCTGGCAGCAAATTGGCATTTTGTAGGAGGAGAAATCAAACCAGGAGTAGAGAAGGAAGAAGAAGAATAGTGAAGGGAGAAGAAGGATCAAGCTTTTAATAAAAAATGATTCTCGTCAAAAATCGGTCGGGAATTATTGAAAAATTTCTAAAAAATATTCACGATTAAGTATTGGTGGTATAATTTCGCGAGCAAATTTTCAGGTTCCGTCAGAAATCGGTCAGGATTGCCGACGGATTTCCGACAAACTATTAAAAAACATTATAAATCCCGACTGATTTCCGACAAACTATTAAAAACTTAACATAATGTTTTCTCCTTTCTTACCACACACATGTAAATTAAGATTAGAAAATCAACAGATTTGCACATTCTGTCGGAAATCAGTCGGAAATTTACATTTGCTGGTTGACCATTTGCAGCAACATTCTCTTGCACGATGACAAGTATTTCTTCCACGTGTTCAGCTGCATTTCGGTGGGTTCCATTTCCGTTGCGACGAGCTGTCGACATCCTGAAAAATGAAACGCTTGGATCAGATCTTTCACCTAGAGAATCAAAGAAGATTGACTCGGGCTATGGTCGTTGCTCCCTATTCTCTAACCCCCATAAGGAAAATAGTTTTTTGTTTTTTTGTTTTTTTTTTTTTTGAAATCCAAAATTCAATTTTTTTTTAATTCAAAAATTCGAAATCAGAAAAGAACTTCTTCTTTTTAAAACCGATTAAAAATTTGAACAAGTCCCAAAACGCCTCATGCGTCAGAACCAGTTTGGCTAATCTTACGCTCTGATACCAAATTGAGACACCATAATCCTGCAAACTAAACCTAACTTGATTTATACTCATTTAACGGCTTTTAAAAGAATAACAAACTCATTAAATATTCATTTATTGTCTAAAATCTTTTATAAAAAATAAATAAACCGGGAACTTGAAACATCTTAACAATAAACCAAATTTCAAATATTCAAAGAAAAAGTAAAGAAAATATATTAAAAATTCTTATTAAAAATTATTAAGTAAAAATGCGCCCATGGTCCACGGAAGCAACAACGCATCAACCACCACAAGTACTACTATTCGGTCTCACCTGAAAAAGGAATGAAGGGGTGAGTATTTTGGGAATACTCAGTGAAAGTGTGCTTTGGATCACACATGATTCTTATATACATTAATTGAGATAACAATAACGAGTATGCACAATATTAGCAATAAACACACAACAACCTATATGTTCTTAATACGATTCTACATGTCATGAAAAAATCATTTCTGTATGCATTCATTTACTTCAAGTCAATCATCCTAACAATACTATATCACATTCCCAAAAACATCGGTCTAAGGTACTCATTCTCCTTTACTTTTCCTCTCATTAACGTTCACAGCTCGTCAGCTGTTTGACCCACTCACTGAAAAATCATTTTTGGAACCATGGCACTACACTTCTCATCATGTCCTTCGTGCAGCCAAGAAACAATATTGTGCTCCATGGTTTAACACCCATGATGCCGACAACAACCATCGTGCTAACACTTCTAGCAAACATCCACTCCACATAATTATGCATCAACCATATTTCAAATACAACAAACAACAATCATATATATTACCTATATCAAACATACACATATTCCTACTTCAACTAAGGCATCTTAAGAATCCACATCTAGTTCTCACCTTGATATCACAGTGAAGAATTGAATCTGGAAAATAACGGTTGAAATCCAACTCTGCGGTACAACAACAATGGTGAACTAAGATTTTCAGTTTCGCATGACTAAGCTGTTTCTTGGCTGAGAAGATAAGCCCATAACTTTCGCATCTCACCTTAAAATTGAAATCCGTAAATTGGTCTGAGAAGTTGGTTGCAAGAGCTTCAAATTGATAGGTAGATCGTGATCTGGGTCCTTCTGGATCGACGGAAAAACTTCTCTCAAGTTATCTCTGCGAAATTGGTAAAAATCAGATCTGCAGAATCTTTTGGGTTTGCAGAAAAAATGATTTTTTTTTTGCCAACTTTCAGCTTGCGTAAAAAACGGAGCTTACCTCGGATTTATGATATGCAAACTGCTATAAATTTCTTGCAGCGAGATCTTTTTAGAGGTGTGAGGATCGGCACTTACCTTGATCTGAGTTGCTGGCAAACGATTTAGCAAAGAGAATTTTACACTACATATTACTTTCTGTCTTTATAATTACAGATATAACACTTTCTGCTATTCTAACACTTTACATTGGTTAAAGACAATTATCTTCTATTTCTACCCTTTGTAATTTAATGGCTACAAATAAAGCAAATAAAAAATAAAAAGTCGATCTCTTTCCCTCGCGATATTACTACCACCATTTTATTTCTTCTTTCTTCTTTTTTCTTTTTCCTCTCATTTTTCCAAACTTATATCCCACATATTTTATTTTGTTTATTTTGTTTTCATAAAAAATAATTTAACAATATTTTTACACTATCAATTATATCTATTTTATTTCTATACTTTGATACTCATTTCATAATAGTTTACTTATATATAATTCACATAAATTATGTAAAAACAATATGCATCTTCATATAGGTGTACATGTAAACCATATTGTCATGAATACGAATATATGTCCATGTAATTGCATCCACATGTACCATATGTGTATATACGTCTACATATCCACTGTGTCCACATGTACCCTATATTCGTGTATACGTTTACATATAGATACATATACACATTCACATGTACGCAACTATATAAATACATGTACGTTTATCTGTTTATGCGAATTATATAAGTAATATATTGTAAAATGGGTTTTCTTTTTCTTTTACATATTCATCGAACAATTTTGTTTATCTCAAGACCTCATTTAGTTTAAATTAGTGAGAGAAGCGTAATAGATCACTCACATTTCAACTCTTAAAGATCGATGAAAAGACTCAACCAATTATATGATAAGTGCATACAAAATAGAGACGAACAACATCATTGTCGAAATTGAAAGAGAACAACATAAGTGAGCCACAGAAGCAGTACGCGGAGTAGAATTGTGAACATCCGTTTGTCCTGAATTTTTGTCAGAGGGAGAAGTAGGCGAAGGGAGGATCGTCTGTGGCGGAGCCAGTAGAGTTTGACTCGTCGGTGCTGCCGATGGTGGGAACCGTGGCGTTGGCGACTGTGGAGCCATGGAAGTCTGGAAGACATAAAAAAAAAATTATATGGTTTGGTTTAGCCAAATATCGAAATAGAAAGTTCTTATTCCGTTAAACATTCATCAATCATAGGAAGGCCAAAAATCAGCATCATACAAATCATATGTATGTAACAGTTTTTTGTGTGTACTCTCTTCATTTCAATGTAAAATCTTGATTAGTGATGCAGAGAGATATTTAGAATATCTTCTAATATTTTAATTATTTATTTAATTATTTAGATCATTTAATTTTATTATTTAGGATTTTTCTAATGTTTTGAATTTATATAAATAAACTGTTTAGGCGTAAATTGTATTTAGTTTTAAATGATTAATAAAATTGAGTTTTTGTCTCTTTATTCCTTGTTTTCAGTAGATTTAGAGAGATTTCAACGAATCTAAGAAGATTTAATTTATTCGGGTATTCACCGACTAAATAAATAATCTCGCGATTATCATAGTTTTCCGGATATTCTCAGAGTCAACAAATTACTATTTTATCTTTTAAAAGTTTTCAGTACATAGTTGGTATCAGAGCCAACACTTTGGTTTCTTAATCAAAGTTTGATCCTGCTTCCATACACCATGTTGTTCGAAGTTTTGTTCCCGGATGCATGTCCTTTTGTTCCATCAAAAGATTTGTGTGCAGATTTGAGAGAAATTGTTGGAGATCCAATTTTTAATGTTTATGATGATGAATATTTTCTCCAAAAAAACGAGAGTAAAGCGTTATTCAATATTGAAGAGGTGGAAAACGTACGTCTTTTGATAGATTTTAATCAAAGTGGCTTAATATCCTCTCATGAAGTCCACGTTGCCCAGGAAGACAACACAAAAGAAGATACTTATGTGGATGATGTGGACAAGAGTACGATTTGGGCTGCCAAGAAAGAATCTCCAATAAGAGCTTCAACTCATCATCGTAATACCGTGGAGCACATGGAAATCTCCAAACTGATTGAAGTGCAGCAAAATTATTTTATTCAAGGAGAATTATCAGTGGAAGAAGAGAAAGAAAAGAAGAAGAAAAAAAAAATTCCCATCGAGTTTAAGATTTGAGGACGAATCTTCTCGTCTCGTCGTCTCGTCGGAGAGAATGATACTAAGAGATATTTAAAATATATTCTAATATTTTAATTATTTATTTAATTATTTAGATAATTTCCATTTATTATTTAGAGTTTTTTAATGTTTTAGATTTATTATAAATAACCGTTTAAGTTTAAGTTGTTCCTTGTTTTGGATAGATTTAGAGAGATCTCAACGAATCTAATAAAGCTTAATTTATTTGGGTATTCATAGACTAAACGAATAATCTTACGATTACTATAATTTTCCGGATATTTCCAAAATCAACAGATTACTATTTCATATTTTTAAAGCTTCCACTACGTCAATTAAGCTTTGTGTTCCACTTGGTTTGACAAAATTTCAGTCCAAATTCTTGATATTTCCTAAAATGCTTGAAAGACTTTCAATATATTGTTTTGATCGGTTTATCATATTTCAGTTTAATATACGAGTTATTTGGTCTATGAAAAAGTATCAGTAAATCAGTTTACTGTCCTTTCGATTCTATTTTTCAGTCAGATATTTTATTCTTTATGATTTTGGTTCGGATCGGTTGAATCCAATAGGACTCTCCTACCGATTCTGGAATAACTCATATTATTTATCTATCTTGTAAGTTGTAAGTTGTAACAAAAACTTACTTGGTTAGCAGTCTTCGTGAGCCCGATATCATAAGTCATGGTTAGATCAGGTTTGAACAAGCCGAAAGCTCTTTCAGACCCTTTCCCGGGCTTGAGATTCTCGTCGTACAATGCGAACAAGTATGTGTCGATAACCTTTCCAGGCATTAGTGGTGTCCCGGCCATAGATTTCAAATGACCGATGAGATTTTTATTGTAAGCTCTAGCGTTCTCAATGGTCGCACCAGCCTCGGTTGGGTCTCCTTTGTATGGCCACCCAGTCTCAGCCACCACTATCTCTACGTCCTTAAACCCCATTTTACTCAAAGCTGAATACACCGCATCAACCTTCACAAATTATACTTTATATGTTACATTTTCCTATTCATTTTTTCCTAATAATACTATGCATCCATATTTGCAGATCTGTATATCAATTTTCTTGCTTCCGCTAATTTGACAAGGTACTCATTTGGTGTCCTTTACCGATTTTATACTACTTTTCCTCTATGAGCACATATTTTCACTCATTTATTTATTTGACGTAACTAAAAGATATGACTTTTGGGTCCACTAAATTTCTAATTCATTTATAGTAATAAATAGCTAAAACTTAAAATTTGGCAAAAAGTAGTAAAACGTGGATTAAAACCTGAGCATCGAACATGTTCATATATTTGATCTTGCTGTTGGAGTCGACACGGCCAGGATTAGGCTCAAACAAGCAATACGCCAACGTATCCGGTCTCGGGTCACTCTGGTAAGCAAAAAACGGGTACGGGTTAACCGCAAAAGGCGACCCGGTCTCCCTGTTGAACTCTAGCAAACCCTTCAATATATCAGCATGGTCCGGTGCAAAAACTCCGGCAGAAGGAGGGTCAGACTGGCCCAGAACCGACATAACATGTACTGTAGAGACCTTGATTTTTCCGCCACCAAGAGACGCCGCCTCGAGGGCACTTTGGACATTTCGCATAGCCGGTAAGAGCTGCGACATGAGATTACGGTCGCCAAAGGTTGTGACTTCGTTTCCCACGGCGATAAGAATGATCTTGCTCGCCGGGTAATAAGGAACTACGTTTGTTTCGACCCAGCTCCCGGCCAAATTCGGGTCTGATGCTAAACCGGGTACGTCGTTTGTTCCGATGACGATCTCAATCCCTGTGTTGGCTAGGGCCTTGATTGTAGCCGGGTCGGATCCGTAGAGTCGGACTTTTTGGATAGTTGTGGACTGAAGAAGCTTTGCTGTTGCTGAAGGTGGCGGAAGATTGTCGGCGACTTGGCCGTAGTTTACTCCGATGAACGGTTGAGACTCTGTTTGATACATGTGAAAGACTCCGATTTAGAGAAGTTATATACAAAAAACCCCAAAATAGTAGAATTTTGAAAAAAAAAAAAACTTACTTGCTTGATGAAGAGCATGTAAACACGAGAAGAAGAGTAGAATCAATGTATAAAGAGAAGCTGCCATGTTTTACAGAGAAGCTCTCTGAGAGAACTATCGAATAGAAGTGGGTAATCTACAGATATAATATATATGCAGAAAACTGTAAAGGTAAAAGTAAATTATTATTATTTCCTCAGATTTCAAAATTTGAATGGTAAAAGTATTCTGAATGGTAAAAGACAAAAATATACTCTTTTTGGTTTGGACCAATGTAAGTTACTAAGTTAGTGAAATACATTTAAATCGTTGAATCCATGCACAAGCACAACCGACTTAACTCGAAATTGTTGTCACTTACCATTTCCTTTTGTCTGGATTTATACTATATAACTTTATCTTTCGATTGATAAAGGAAGCTATTACTCTTTGTTTTAACCTCTAAAAACATATATGAGCTCAATTAAGTGAGTTTGGGTAAAATCGCAATCACACCTAAATGATACTCTCATTAAGCCTAAGTAAAAAGTTATTGCTATTAAATCAAGAACCTAAATTCGTGTTATTTCTGGATTAGATTTTATTGTGTGTAAATAAATCATTTGATCAGTGGATTTCATTTTGGTGATTTATTTATATTGAGCTTGGGAAAATCTTTTGTAAAGTCTATTCACCTCTAAATATGATTGTATGTATAACATCTAGATTTCTGGTATATGTGGAAATACTTATAAGAATTGATTTGGCTATCTATGTTATCAAAGTGCATTTATCTTTTTGGGTATTGGTCTTAAAAGAACTCCAAAGTTAAGGATGTTTAAGCTGAAACAATTTCAGTAGGTCACAGAAAGTGGTCCGCAGTACCGTGTGAGTGAGGACAAAGCATGGTGAAATATTACATGGTAATTGCAAAGATAATAGATAAGTCTTACGAGCCTTTTGAACTAACGCACTGATTGTCGGACAATGATAGATCCACAAACCTAGAGAGGGACTAATCGTCGGACAGTAGTGATGGCCAACGCAGGTCTAGTTTGTTTTACCGGTCTGTCTGTCACCAATAGTTAATTATCGTTGGCAGCATTGAGTTCACTGAGAAATGTGGTTGGTGGCCTAGAGAAAGTTAGACTCACTAGAAGGGACGGTTGGAAGCATTAAAAGTTGATAATCGTTTCGTCTGGTTTTCCAAAGAGAAGGCGAGATCAGGATCTCACAGTAAACCTTATCGAAATATGGATACTTTACATTTGAATAAATTCATGTATACACCGGATCAAGAAACAAAACACATCATGACAACGTACGTATAAGTACGTGTTGCAAGGCATTAAAAAAAGAGACAATAAAGGGAAACTAAAACCCTAAAATATCTTTCGTTAACTAGTTGCATGAAAAAGTGTGAAATACAATTATAAGAGGTGCATATTTTCCCACTCTTAATGAAGCATTATAATTAATAACATCTTAAATAGTTAAAGTATTTGAGGCCTTTTGGTTAATTGGATTTTCCTTCTCTACTAAGAAATGAAGCTAGGTGACGAAACATGGTGGAGAAGGAGGGCAAGGAATTAGACACTTCAACATCTACCATAAAGATGGAAAAAGAATAATAAAAAGAAGACGAAGTTGCTTTTGCTGTGGCACAAGAAAAAGATAAAGCATGTTAAAACTATTGTTGCTTCGCAAAAAGACGGAAACAATTATTAAAAACAAAAGCACAAAAGGCGTAATATTTGAACCAGAATCTTCAAAATATTGGGTTCTATAAATCTTTTTTTTCGTAGTCCCAAATAATCGTTTTCAACATATGGTTTGATAATTTTTCCTGCTGATAGTGTTTAATTCAACCATATAACTCAAAAATGGTTTTCTAATTTTTTATAGTTTATAATATAATTTTACTGTCTAATGCTTCTCTATTATTTTTTCTTTCTACATATTAGTTTTTTTATATATTTTAATTAAAAAATTATTTAAAGTATTTTTTTATCACTAATTGCAACTCTATCGCAATAATATATTGAGAAAATTAGAAGAAAATACATTGCAACTCTAATGTTTTCAACAGAATTGCGATAGCAGTGTATGAGCAACTCCGTGACGCGAATTTCCTCATAGACCAGCCCAAAACATTCCATTGCAACATTTACGACTAAAAATTATCTTACTTTTGCGGCAAAACCATCGCCATTGCAACAAAATTTTGACAATCATTTTGGAACGGATTTTTCATGTTGCATATCCATCCATCGTACCTATTTGGGACACAATATAAGGTTTTTTTCAGACAAATTATATCGTATCAAGATTTGTTTTGGTATCTTCCTGAAGGACCCCAATTACTTGTTTTAAGATGAAAGATAATCGATGTTCAAAAAAAAAAAAAAAAAAAAAAATTAAAGATAATCGGTCCTCCTCAAGTTTGCCTCTCACCCCAAACAAATACATATCAAGAGCAATTATATTTTACTATAGTAGCTAGAATCATCTCTAAGTATGTACAATCTCTTCATGGATATATGATAATTAAATTTCAATGCCTATATAGAAAGCTAAAACCTAATAGTCTACTAGATTTATGACATCAATTAGAATTATAATATTCCACAGAAGAATTTGATCACTCTGCTCATTCATTCGATTTTCATACCAATATTTTGCCCAAGAGGTAAAAAAGAAAAGAAACCATTTTCAAACAAAACATGAATGAAATGGAGTTTAATGGCTCAAGATGATCACCTAAATCAAGAGCTCACTTTTGACCTGGTAAAAATAGAAGAGTCATGGCTATATGCATATAAGATCTCTGGTTATCTCCTCCATTAGTCCACTGAAGATTTCCCTTTCTATGTCCCTTATAACATCATCTTTCTCTATGAAGGCGAACATCGAATCATTCCAACCCATATCCCACATTGAGTTCAAGTGTGGGTCATTATGGTGAACATCTCTTTCCAACACCTTTGGCAAGTAATCTTCAACAAGTGATCCAGTGTGGCACTCCCTACCGTAGGCTCTCAGCGTCTCAAATTCCTTGCTTAATTGTCTAACGAGATGGTTCAATGAGTTTACTTTAGAGGAACTGATGGGTACCTTCACGAAAGGATGGACACTTAACTCTTTAAATCTCCCTTTTCGTTTAATTAGCTCGTAGCTACAATCAAGGAGTAAATTCTTGTCTTCTTGATAGAAATTGTCCCCACCGGCTTCATGAAGGACATTGAGAGGAATGTCGACTTTGAAAAATGCCTCTGCTGTGTCAGAATAGTTGGTTTTTCACAACTATCTTCTTGAGGTGTTTTTCAGTTTCAGACAATGTTTTTGTAGTTTCTTGTTTACGGTGTTCTTGCCGCTTCGACAACAAGGGTACACCAGATTCTACCTTCTCTTTAGTTCCTGAAACCATTCAAACTTAATTTAGTTTTTTTCTTTCAAAATCTCTTCTCCAAATTGATTGTTGTTCTTTCATGAGCAAAGTATAACAGTTGATATATTTTGACACATTTGGGGTCGTTAATTCGGCTTATGGTTTGGTTTTGGTTCGGATTTTTGGTTTTACAAAAACGGAAACTATACAAACAATTTGTCGTTCGGTTTGGTTTTGGTTATAATTGAAACAGTTTCAGTTTGGTTTGGTTAGGTTTTCCGTCTATGTTTGATTTTAGCTTGAAAATAACTTCAGAATTGAAACAATTTAATTATTATTTAGTATTATAATTATTTACTACGATTATATCTACTTCTTATACATATATAAAGTAAATATAAAATATTACTGAATTCTAGTTCTTACCTTTATATACTGTCTTAGATAATCTATCTGCATTTCCTTCAGACTTTGATAATGGAGCTTGTTGATCCATCTCATCTGTGAACATAAGCTCATGATGCTGCTGCATATCCGAAACCGATTAGATTTAATATATACAGATGGTTTGTGAAGTTATGAATAATAAACTTACATTTTCCGGTGGAGCTTGGCATGGGACTCTCTCTGCGGTGATAAGCAGAATTGAGTCATCTTTGATCTCTCTCTTTTGCTCTAACACATATCTGTTTGATGATTGGACCTCAACACCTTCAGAGCTATTGATGCATGTCTCTGCTTCTTCTGCTTTCATCTTATTACTCTCATTATAACTTCCGAGTAAATGATCATGTTTTCCATCTGCTTCTTTGAAATTAAGTTTCTGATTCTCTTGTTGGTTCACTACTTTGCAAAATCCTTCATTTGGATTGAAGATGTCTTGATTTTTCTTCTCTCGAATCTCGGCTTTATGCACCTCTCCAACTATTTCCTTTTGTGCTATTTCAACATGAGAAAAGCTTTTCCTCTGAGCTTTAGCTTTCCTTGTGAGTGGTAGCTTCGTTGGTATATCTACTGAACTCAAAGGTTTTGGCGGATGATTCGTCATTGCGTCATTTTCATGCTGCAACTTCTCTTTCTTAATGCTCTTTTCTTCCTCCCCTCTAAAAAGTAGTTTCTTCTCAAAACTATGTTTTTGAAAAGACTTTTGTTGGCTCCTTTTGACAACTTTGTGTTTATTTTCTGAAGGAGATGAATGATTTCTGATAACATTTGTTGTCGTCGGTTCTCCATCTTTCTTGTGTGAAGCCTTGTTCCTCTTTCGACTCTTCGAATCATCCTTCTCTCTATCCTTCTGCTGAGACTTGGCTTGGTCATTTATTTCATTCGCTGGGTTTTGAGTCTCCTTATGGATTACTAAATCTAATGATGTTAAGTTCCTTTTTGCCTTCAATTCAGCAAGATTTTTACTAGCTTCTGATACTCTACGCCTGGAATGATTCTCTGCAGATTTTATGGATGCATCACTTTTGTTCTTGGTCTCTTTTTCATCTTCTGGAAAATCTCCTAATCCCATCAGCTTCGCAACAACATTTGGAATCCTTCCATTCTGAGATTTCTGATGGGTATTTTCGCAACTAATTGCTTGCCTTCTGTGTTTATTGTTCTTATCCTCTGGATAGTTAAGTGCCAATAGTCTCATCTTGATATCCGACTTCGCGACTTCTTTGATCTTTCGGTAATCTCGATTTGGAACCTCCTCCTCATCATCATCATCATTTTCTTCAAGCAGCTTGATTCTGTTTTTCCTCTGTTTGTTTGTTAAGTACTCAGAAGAAGCTTGTTGAATGTCTACAAGCAAACGAAGAGACTGTTCCAATTCAATGGCGCCTTCCATGAGTTGGTCCCCGCATTGTATCGAGTACCTTCCTTTCCGAAAACTAAGGCCATTGCTACATGCTTTAATGATCTGGTTCAGTTTTTGAGCACCCTTTGAAATTTCTTTAATATGAACATGAACCATGGGAAGTTGTTGACTGCTTGAACAAGGTTGTCGTTGACTGCTTCTTTTTTCTTCTGTTCCGTATCCCATAGATCTCTTTCCTACTTCATGAAGGAAACTAATGATTGAGGCACTTCCTGAAGGATCTTCTCTTGTAGCCTTTCCAGTATTTTCAAGTGCAAGTGTTAATGCTTTGGACAGATCGATTTTCTCCATGCTCTGACCTTTGCCATAAGGAATTATCTGGTTTGAAGCCTCTCTGCCGCAAGTGAGTGATTTGGCTCCTCCATAGTTAAAATCTTGAAATTGTGTCTGCAACCAAACAAACCATCAATTTTTAACTCATTTGGATTTTGAAATATAGAAAGATGCTTCACAGCTTACATATTTTGCTCTTGTTTCTTTGGATCCCTTCAATCGTCTGTTAGAATATGCATAGTTATCTGCAACCATTAAACAAAAATTTGACATTAGAGTTTTCTATATATAGGTTGTTGCGATTCAGAAGCTATATATTTTTTCGATGAAAAGCTTAATGCGATTTTTTTTTTTCCTTAGAAACTAAATGTAGACTGAAATAAAAACTTGGAACAAATTACATTAAAATATTTAAGAAATTCATTCAAACATCGTTTGTAATTCTCGATGTAGAATTTTTTATTTAAAAATTAGTGTACGGCCTCTATAAACGTAAGAACGACTGCTACTACATCACATTATGAATCCTTTTATGCCTTAATGAACTTCGATATTCCATCGCAAACTCTTATGGTTGTTCTATTGAGTAAAAACACGTTTGCTCATTTTATTTTATGTAAGAGATTAAAGAATTGACTTTGGCTACTTCTAAATTTAGATATAACAAAAGAAATGTATGGTAAGGAATCAATGTTTGTTCAATCTTACCGGTTGATATGCAGTTTTGAGAGATCGAAAGCTGTTCTTTCCTTACGCGAAGATCATCCAACAACTTCTGTGCAAAATCTGACCTTTTCATCATTCTCTTCTCACCATTCGAACTCATTCTCAGTTAGTTAATTCTTCTTCTTTTCAATCTTGAGTCCAAAAACAAAAGACACAATGAGAAGTCTCTTAGCATTCGCGTTTGAGGTTATTTCTAAAGACTCCAAGACCTCTTTTTTGTGTGGTTTGTATGTTTGTTGGTTTCATTGTTTTCTTGACTCTACTTAATTTTTAGTTAAAATGGTTCTTTCAGTGTTTGGTGGAAAGGATTCTAAGTAGTGATAACAAAAATCTAATTGATAACAATGGAAGATTCTACAAATTAAATGTGTGTGTTTGATTGTTGACGTGAACGTTTGGCCCTTCTGAGTAAAATGTGCTTAATGTTCGTTTTAATAACTTTGATTGCAAGTTAAGCGATGACGAGGGCCTCTCCTTTACGACTTAACTTTCAAGCCTCTCTCCCTATGTTTTTTATATGCTTTACCGTCTGGTGAAATGAGAAATAGAATATTATACGTATCTGAATATTAAATTCCAACAACTTTTGTTTAATTTAAGAATTTGTATCCAACTTTTTTTGGCTAAATGGAGCGTGCATGTCAATATCCTTATCCGATGCAAATGCTTTCGGTATTTGTGAGAACACGTATAGGTGTAAATTTTTGTAATTATTAATGAATAAAAAATTGTAAGTACTTATTCACTTACAAAATATGAAATAAAAGGAATATTTTCTTATATAATTTTAATATTTTAGATAGTGTCAAAACTTTATCATAAAATTAGAAGTATGTATTATATTATATATTTTATATTATTTATTTAAGGGATTTTCAATTTTCTTTGAGAGAAAATCTTTTGTAAAACCTTCAAACATGTGAAAGCCTGAAAAACACGATAAAATAATATATTTTTTTATGGTTTTCCGACACTCAAGTAAAAAAAACAGTAACGAAAAGATTACAAAAGGCAAATCAAAAGAAAAAAATATTGGAAAACAAAAGAAAGGAAAAGCGAGCCGAGAGCTCTTGAAAAAGGTAGAGTCTACTGGGACCTAAATTTAGTGGGTTTTTTGGATAGAAAAGAGAAGAAATGTAAAAGTTTATGGGTGGAGAAGCCCCACGGTTTAGGAAACGTCGTGGAGTGGAAGTGGAAGTAATGAGATCGTCGGAATAATGACCTTGAAAAGAGAAAGAGTAGTAAAGCTTAAGGTTCACGAGTATCACGAGAGATAACATGTACCTTAAGATTGCGAAAAAATTGAACCCCTTTCTTGTTGGAAAGGGTTAAGTAGTTATAAGATTTTACCTGAATCGTGTTATTAGTATACCCGGTCAATCCATGGGTCGTGGGGTTCGTGGGTCGGTCCGGGATCCGACTTGATTGAGTCCGAACCTTATTCTTGCGTCATGTTTCTGACGGACTCACCAACTTTCCTTGGTGTGTTCCTCCTGCTGCGAGACCGTTCCTTGGCACGTCCTTCTGACCTTCAGTGTACGAGTTAGGTTTAGCGGCTCAGACACGGTATGATCTTCGCTGAATCTTTGTTTTTTCTCTGCCTTCTGCGAATCATTGTCTCATGACATATGTAAGCATAACACATTAAATGCCAATTATGAGTTTGTCAAAGTTATGGGCAATCAAATCAGTTCAAGGGATATTTCGATTTTTGAATGGAGGGAAATTTGAAGAGTAGTTTCTGTTTAATACTCATACCTGGTCCGGATCTCTTGATACTGGGACCAAGCTGTCGATGCTGCCTTACTGGTTGATTCCTTTTTCCGGATACCTATGCGGATTACATTTCCTTATATCCCAACTCTTCCAAAATCTTAGGTCTAAGACATAGAAAAAATAACCTCTCCTCATCCTAACCACTTAGTTCTTTGACCTCCTTGTTTTTGACAGCGTGGCTTGCATTGTCAGATACGAGAAACCCGGGAACATGTGGCCTTCCATACTGAATCTTCTGAATCCAAAGCATTCGAGGCCGGTGCTATATGCTTTGATCGTATTGGACCGTAAGCCCAATACGAAACCTAATTTGGCCCAAAAGAGGCCGTACCTGAAAAAAAAAATCTAATTTGGCCCAAAAGACCAGTACAAGCAAGTGGTTTGTCCATGTAAAAAGGATCAGATTTATCCCAAACATTCTTATTACAAAATCTTATATATAATGATAATTTGGAACCTTCCCAAAAAAAATCCCTCTTATTATTTAATTAACCAATCAATTTGCTATTAGATATTTCTTATCCGCTTGGCAGTATTCTAGCATTTTTTCTCGTTTTAAGACTGTGAAGTGAAATATTTACTCAAGAAGAATGAATTAAAACAAGTAACTATTTATTCATATTTTCATCTGCGAAAGTTAAACTTACACAACCAGAAAAGATAGAGAAAAAGCTGTGAATAATTTAGAATTTTAGGCCAACCGAACCATGTAGTACTGAATCCAACCTCCTACACAATATCGTAGAGCTGACTACTTTTCGCTGCTTAAAGAGCCCAACATAAACTTTGATTGCGGATGTCACAATAGAAGAGAATAAAAAGGCCCTCCTATATGTGCCTTCGAGTAAAAATCTGGGTCCGAATGGTTTTATAGCATAGTTCTTCACTGCAGCAGGCCACTAATTGAGAATGATCTGGTGATTCCTGTACATCTTTTTTGAGGAACGTATTCATGCCTTGGGAAATCAATTGCTATAACTTTGGCTCTTATTCCAGATGTGGATGCAAAAACAGTGAACGAATACCGACCCATTACATGTTGCAAAATGATCTACAAAATTATATCAAAGAATGTGGCAAACAGACTGAGATCAATTCTTCTAGAATATATTAAATAAAACCAGTGCACTTTCATAAAAGGAAGACTTCTACTTGAGAACGTTCTTCTAGCTACGGAACTAGTCAAAGACTACCACAAGGACTCTATTTATCCGTGCTCAAAATGGATGAGGCTTTTGATATAGTCCATTGGGATTTCATCATTGCTACTCTCCAACGAAATGCTCTTCCAGATTTATTCATCATGTGAATACGAGGTTCTTTTACTACCACCTATATCTCTGTTTCAGTAAATGGGGAACTTAGAAGATTTCTTCTCTAGTTCTTGAGGCATTCGTCAACGTCCTATCTCTTCTCCTCTCGAAGGCAGGTGGTGATGGGAAATTTGGTTACCACTCATTTGTCTTGAGCTCAATTTTAATTCAATTTATCTTAGGTTTGTGGATGATATGATGGTCTATATTACTGGATCAGCAGAAGCTCTTAACAAAAATAAATTGAGGTTTTCAAAGGATTTAGACAAATCTCAGGTCTTGCAATCAACGCAGCTAAGTCCTCTCTCTATATGCTATATGGCTGGCCGTATAACCACTAATTTGCATCTACAAGCAATGTCAGTATTCCGGTGGATTAATTGCTGATCATGTACATGAGTACGGCTTGAGTATGAATCCCTAATAAGAAAAATTCAGACACGGCTGCTATCATGGTCGTGTAAAACACTGTAAAACTTCGGTAGATTTCAGCTGATCCGACGATCTGTCACTAGAAGCATTATCAATTTCTAGTGTTCAGTATTTTGACTATCAATAGAAATGTTTTGATGTCGTCCACAGCAAGTGAGTAGCTTTTCTCTGTTTGGGTAATCCCCTTATTCAAACTACAGAAAATATGGCTTAGGATGAAGTTTGTAGGCCAAAACATAAAGGTAGTTTGGGAGTTCGTAGGAGGCGGATCCCTCTCAGGTTTTCTCCTTGAGGTTGGTACTAACTCGAGATCTCTTTGGTTGGCATGGACAAGATTTTTTGTTTTTTGTTTTTGCATGGACATACCAATCACTTGCCAAGCACCAACTGCATGCTACCGATTGCTTTTAAGATTTGTTAAACCCGCAAATGTTCCAGAAAAACTTGACATCAATGAATTTGTTTGGTATGTTTCCTCCCACTAACATTAGGGAGATCCCTAACTTGTTGAGATTGTGAAGCCGAGAGATATTTGTGGTCCTTTTTTGATCTGCGAGGCAGTAAAGCTCTGACGTTAGTATTCTCAACCCTTTGCTGAGATGTTTTATTGGCCAGAACATTGACAGTATGAGAGGACTCGTTAGATTATTCAGCAAGAACCTCTTCTTCCTTCTCTTCTTGAACAACTGTCTCAGTCACAGACTCATTGATGTGAGTGCAGTGGGCAACACAAGTTTTACTCTAGATAAGCTGCAAGTGCACAGCAAACGCAGTAGTACTTAGGGATTAAATCCACAAAGATCTGTGTGTTGAGAACTTCTAACTGATGCTAAAAACAATCGTAAACCTAATCTAATAAAGTGGGGTTTTGGTTTGTCACTAAATCTAATAATGCAGAGAATTAAAAAAGACCTTTAAGTAAAAATCGGTTGAAAAACAGTAAGGAAAAAGCGCTGGGTTCAAGGTTCATCTTTAGGGTTCATGTTCAAAAACACAAGAAATTTAGGCAAGGATTTTCTATGACTCTGAAACTAGGATAGACGCATGTAAGATTAGCCAACTCTCGTCACCCTAATCATCTAATCACTTGTTCATGGCAATTAACTCTCGCTCTCATGCCAGAACAAGATCATGCTTTGTAGATCGGAATCCATCTCTGCTTACGTATCCTCCGTAGGTAGCTTTTGTCTCCTATGAGGACGTCCATAAGATCCAGTTCAGGCAACCCAGATACAACACTCTTGTGGCTCGGATTAAACCTAGGATCAGATTTTGGGTGATCAATCCAGAATTACCGCTTTTAGATTTGGATGAATGGAAGAATCATGTTAAAAATCGAAATCATTTTCCTAAAAACCTAGATGTCATTCGAACATGGGGTTCCTTTGGATTACACTTTCACCCAACTAGGTGACTACTCAGACATGGCTGAGGTAGACATCATTATAGGTTTAGAACTAAGAAGAAGAAAAGTAAAAGAAACAAAGTTGCAGAAAGTTTTCTCTTATTGAAGACAGAATGGTGATGGAGAGCTTCTACAAATGCATAAAAATAAAACCTAAAACTACAAATGAGTTCTCTCTCAAAAAGAAGAAAAAGGCTCTCTTACAAAAGACCTAAAAATGAGTATTTATTGTGTTTCTAC